AATGTAATGTTCTTTTGTCTTCACCGTTAGGGCAGATCCGGTAGTCAGCCATCGCACCTCGTCGACAACGTTATATTTTTGTAAGAGCTCTCCCTCCCCCTCCTCCCGCTCCCTCCCCCTACCCGCTCCATCGATCTTGCCCATCGCAACCCACGCCTCTTCCCTGCTCTGTACGCTGTCCGTCTCGTTATTTCTGCCCGAGTTGCTGCCCCTAGTCGGCGTATATCGCCAGGGACTCCCCAACTTGGGGGTCCGTGGCGTGTCGCCGCTCTTGGTGCTTTTGTTGCCCGTAGAGAAAGGAGAACCGGGGGCGTGGGGACCTGCGTCACTGCTGTATTTGCCTTTTGCGCGTGCACTGTCTTCCTCAAACTTCTTCAGATGTCGATTGTACGTGTCTCCTGCGACCGAACCGGATCCACCAAAGCGACCATTATCTCCAGTCAAGATACCCAAGCGGTGTATAGCGCGAGTCTGGCGGTTCTTTTCTCGTGTCTTGCGCCATCGAGCGAAGCAGCCAAAGCCGGGGATTGAGTCGAGGACTTTGTGGAATGAGGAAGGGTGATAGCGTCTCCAAAGGAAAATTGTCATTAGCAGGACAATGAGGATGCCAACTGTGAGAGGGACAGCGATCATGGCGTTTCGGTGTCCATGACCTCTTCCTTGAGGATGACCAATCCACGGCGCTGGTATGGTGGTATTTGTAGCTGAAGATGAAGCCGTGGCAGAAGCTGATGTCTGGGCTGGCGCGATATCCGTCGACGAAACTGAAAATGATGTGCCTCCCGTGCTGGACGTGGACGTGGACGTCGAAGACGGCAGATTCGAAGGTGTAGGATCTAAAGAGCTGTCGATACTCGTGGTTTCTGACAAAGAGGAAGAAGCAGATGCAATGCTGGAAGTTCCGCTATTCCCAGACGGGTCCAACGCGCCACCCGGACATGCGACAGGGTCAGGAACTCCAAAAGCAACACATGCTGTCGAGGTCCAAGTAACACTGCTGCTGGTGCTTGTAGCTGTGGTCGACGAGTCGGAGACCGAAGAGACAGATGGGCCTCTCATGGTCGCAACTGAGGTAGATGGTGAGAATGTCGATGTTTCAATTGGACCAGTAGTTGGAGTCGGCGAGAAAGTTGTGATCTAGATGAGAATCAGTCAGTAACGGGATGCTTAGATATTGTAGCAGCCGCAGCACTGCCAGATACTCGCATTCACAAAATTGATATCCTGGGCATGCCTTAGAAGGACAGGGTCCGCACTGACATTCAGACTTGAGATGACCACGCTTGGTGTCGTCTTGTAGCTCCGACTGGGATTGCCTCTGTTTTGATCACGTCTGGCTGCCTCCTCTCTCTTGGATTTTGTGGACTCAGACACGGGGTGGATATGTCTCGACCGAGTCATGGAACAGGCAAATAAAGGCGCTGGCCTGGTAGCGAGCGAAAGAGGGTAGCAACTTACAGAAGTCGTGATACTGTCTGAAGCTGAGGATTGAAGGTCATCTGCGCTTGCTGGATGTGATAGATATATTGTCACCACTGATCCGACCGTGACGAGGCAAGTGGCAGGTGGAAAGATGGATAGGGATTCCGGCGGAACTGCAGAGCAGCTGACTCTTGGTGTGATAGTGACATGGTTTGGACTTGAAGTGACTGAGGAATAGTCAGAAGATTGGCGTGAATTACCGACATAACTGCGAAGAGGTCCGCGGTGCCATCTCGTACCGTTTGCTTGAGAGGGTGGGACTGCGCTCAGAGTTGTTCCTGATGTGATTGAGGTTGACGCCTCGACACATTCAGTTGAGTTGAAAGCAATAGGACAATGCGGTGGATCAGCTGGGGAGGCGGTGTTTTCTGGTCCAGAACAGATTGCTGTCGCACAAGACACTCTTCCACTTCTCGCAGACGCGGCATCGGCGGCGCTCAGCGGAATGATGGTGAGTCCTATCGCCGCAGCGACAATGAGCTTTGTGATCATCCTGCCAGGCTGAGAGACGGTCGTTGTCGAGCTGCCGTCGGTTGTTGTTTGGTCGAAGGGGAGGTTGGTTGTTGGGAAAACTTGACCCGTTTAAATATCCATGGATCCCATCAAGACCAGCGAGCACAAGCCAAGCTGAGATCCCTCTGATGGTCGATAGCAGGCATTTTCGCCTGTGCCGTCCGCAAAAATTTCTGGAAGATGGCTTCAGATGTCCGTTCAAGCATTCACATCACTAGCCTCAGCAGCTTCTGTCCCTGTCCACCGCCTTCGATCATTCTGCCGCACCTTGGATGTTGGGGCTTTGACGCTGGTCTTCTGAGAAGCTCTCTGAAGCATAGAAGCACCCATGATATCACGTGACTTTGAGGAGTCGTATGAAGATGTGGCAAGATCATCAGATGTCTCATCTGCGGTGCTCTGGGTACAGTGAGTAGACGGCCGGAGCTGTCTGCATCTCTTGATATTTTATGCACTATTAACGGTGTCAGCAATCAAACAGGTAACTTCAACAACACATGGTGGGAATGTAGGGGAATCCATAGGGTGCTCGTGGGACACGACGGTTGTGCCATGCAGTATAAGTCAAGCAAACAGAAAGCATGAGAGATCCAATGGTTCAACACCGTTTGTGAATTTGATGGAGCTCTGACTAAATCAGAAAGGGCGTTCTTGTTGACAGTAAACGCCGTTTCTTTCTCCGAGCAAGTCCCGTCGACGTCCACACACAGCTCCGCTCACAAACATTCCATCATTAGCCTGCCAAAGCCGGTGACAGGTTCCCCAAAACCCGTTCCAACAACCCAAAAGAGGTTCCTCGCCGTTTGTAAACTTGGATGGCTGTCTGAAGCAGAAAGTCTAGACATTGGATTGAATCTTTCGCCGATCTTGCGCCCCAACGCCTTCCGAAAATCCATGAGGGGCAAAAGCTGTAGGTTGGGAGACAGGAATATCTGCGTTTGCTCTTTGGTTGTCCCTTGCTCGAGCGAGGGCCAATGTCTTGCCTGCGTCAATGATTGCCTATCTCTCCTGCCCGTTTCCCTTGTACGATAGGTCGTTGACATGGCGGTTGTGGCTAATTTAGCAGCAGCCTCCAGCAGCGCCTGATTGCACACCTTGGCCTTGTCCGACCTGAACCGTAGGTTTGTTGTTGACCGTAGTGGTACCCATGCGTTCCTTGATCTGCCGGGCCATGGTCAAAAAGGCTTGTTCAACATTGGATGCATTCTTTGCGGAGGTCTCAAGGAACGGGATTCCCAGACTGTCGGCAAATTCCTATTGCATGATGAGTATTACTCCTGCCCATCCGGGGGTGCGCCACTGTACCTTTGCCATGGTGTACTCGACCACCTTCTTGTCCGACATATCGCTCTTGTTGCCGACGAGTAACTTGTTGACACCTTCAGTAGCGTAGCGGTCGATTTCTTGTAGCCATTGCTTGACGTTGTTGAACGAGTCCATATCTGTCACATCATAGACCACACAGATGCCATGAGCGCCTCGGTAATAGGAGGAGGTGATTGTTCGGAATCGTTCTTGACCGGCAGTATCCCACTATTCCGATGTCAGGTAATGTATCAAACTAACTGAGCGGAGTCTTGCCCTACAATTTGTAGCTTGACAGTCTTTCCGTCGAGTTCGATCGTCCGGATTTTCTAACCCCATGTCAGCCTCCCAGCTCTCATGACCCGGAACCTCAGGATAGCAGCGCCGAGTTCGCGACAACATACGAAATCGACGCCGATGGTAGAGATGTAAGATTCGGTGTACGTGTCATCGGCGAATCGCAACAGCAGGCATGATTTTCCGACACCAGAGTCTCCAATAAGCAAGAGCTTGAAGAGGTAATCGTATCTGTGGAACGATATCAATATTCAGGGCACAGGACGACGATGGCTTCCGAGGACGGATTGTCGAGGGATTGACTCTACACACCGTTAGCAAAAGGCCATACTCTGTCAATGGCGGTGGAAAGGATGATGGATTGCAGGCAACTGGGATGGATGGCTTACCACTCTGGATTCATGGTGCTCGATGATACAGGGGCTTCTAGGGAGGTTGAGTAGGGTTGAAACAGTTGGACGTGATTCGAACGGATAATTGAGAACGGCCTGGATCGGTGAAGCCAAGTAGAGAATGGAGTTCAAGGGAAAGGGTGAATTGATGGGAGAATGAATCTGGTGTCTGGCGTTTGCGGCCAACCTGGACTTTGAGATCCGCTACTTGGAGACGAAACAGTGGCAACGTAAGAGGGCAGTTAGGCGCAGGCTCAGGCTTCTCTGTCACCGTTCTAGCTCCTTGTGATAATTGGGCGGCTGAAGCCTGGTGAGCCTGTCAGAAAGAACCTTCCGGAGTGGCTGATGATGACCAGGTCGGGCAGATCACGTGTGAAGCCACAAACAGGGAATGCCTGCGATGGGCTGCGCTGCGACCTGCACAGAAGACTGCGTGACTTGACTCTTGATGCTTCCCGCTCTGTCTGATCAGCATCGTGACCATGGTGAAACTAGACCTCACAATTCTCATCAGATGACGCTCAAAAATAGTATTACAAAGCCCTGCAACACGTACATTCACCATCCACGGGACCAAGAATCGTGCATTGCACCTGACAGTTAGCCCAACGCGCCAAAGAGCACCTGTGCGGGCCAACACGAGGAAGAAATGATAACGACAACCATGTTGGTCAGAAGGGTTTTGTTTTATTAGCTTTGTTGACAAACTCACAGCCTGCTTTACCTGCTGAAGAGGCTACATCTGGTCTCTACGCAACTCTCGACCCTTGAAGTTCACCTACTCAGGTGTATATGCTGGTAGCGGAGCTGCTGGACCTTCCCACGAGATTGGGCCGTGAGCATCAAAACACAATGTCAGGACAGCCTTTCTTTCCTTCACTCTATCACTGAGATCTCCGGCCTGTATGCAAGGATGAAAGTCCGTCATGTATCCACTGATCTCGACGGAGAAAGTGGACACCAAGACGTCCAAGTCGCAAGATGTATTCTATTGGTCACTAGCATGTCCCCAGATCATCAGGAGCCAGTGGACTAAAGCAAGAATCATGGTGCTATGACAACCTGGACGACTGTAGATGACAGACGACACCGCTCGCATCCAGGCGGCGCTTTTAGCGCACAAGAGCCGCAAGTCTAGCTCAGGTCGGTAGGAGCACCAGACGGAGGTAGGTACCTCGTATATCTTAGAGCACCAAGCTTTCTTCATCTAGATGTATTCAGCACGTCTCTACCAGGTCACATATTGACCAAGCCTGGTATCACAACGCGGTAATCAACTCCTTCGCTACGACGTTCCTTTGCCCCATGGCCTCTACGATGCATATCCATGTGCCTTCAACCACTCCAACAACTCCGCCTCATCACGATCCTTGTATCCGGCATTCCCTGTAATGGTATCATGCACGATGACCAAACTCCTGCTGAATTGCCCCGTTTCCTTGTCCTTGAAGAATTGTTCGATATCGTCCCTGATCTTGAGATCCGAGTACTTGGGCAGGCCTGATTTGACCCATCTGTCAATAATGACACTGGTTACTCCCAATCGTTTGTAGACGCGAGCCCAGTTCTTCTTCGTATACTCCCAAGCAACATCCCGGGTTTCGTTGTTATTGGAGACAGCGATGATACCTCCGTGCGCGTCCTGTGGAGGGACTTGTTCCGACGTAACAAAATCTAACAAGTCCCATGCATGTTCGGATTTCTTTGAGCGGCCAAGCGCTTGAATACAGATCTCCTTTCCATCAACACTGGTGGTCTTGATGAATTCCTGCTTGATGGTGTCATACTCTGCTTGTCCGCCATTTGCCACCGCCAGGTTGAATATCACACCTCGAAGGTTTTGATGAATGGCTTTTTCATCGCCGGATTTCCAGGCTGCAAATTTCTTTCGTCCTTCAGAGATGATGTCCTGGTGGCCGGCGCCGGCAGCGGTGGCGAGGAGGAGTTTTCTCGATTGACCGGTCAGCCAGTCCTCACCCTCAGGGTAGTCCCAGCCTATTGCCTCTGCTGCTGGGGAGACCAATTTGAGGGTGAATTTCTTCAGTGCCGCAGAAATTTCCTTGTTTGATGCAAATACTTGTCGCACCTTCGACAGGGAGCTAGCAATCTGTTGCCACACCAAGAAGCTCTTTTCCCCCTTGAAGCCTTCAAGGAGAGACAAAAGAGCAGCTGTTGTACCGTTCCCAGAAACTGCCAAGGCAGTGGCATCACCCATCAGACCAATCTTGTCTTCGATCGAGAGCTGATCATGAGCTTCACCAAGCTTGATAAGCCGTTGAGGTGGGTAATTCGTGCGATAAAAGCCGCTCTGGTCGGCATTGATTTTGTAAAACGCATCATCCACCTCGCGAACAGTGTCCTGCTTCTGAGTCAAAGCACTGTGGACAATCTTGACAGGAGTACCGGTTTTAAGACCAACAGGAATCCACCACGTGGTTTCGTCTTCTTCGGCCTTGACGTCGCCGGTGGTCAGGAACCTTGATTGGCGGATGGATATCTGGCCAGGTTCTTCTGCTACTGTAACCACCGGAAAACCAATCTTGCGGATCCAAGGATCCATGAAAGCTTGGACATCCTGCCCGGAGGCCGCACTGAGGGCAGCCCAGAGATCGTTGGTTTTCGCATTGCCGTAAGCATGGATCTTGAGATAGTCACCCACACCTTTCAAAAAGATGTCTTGGCCGAGGTAGTTGCTCAACATTCTGATAACAGAGCTCCCTTTGAGATACGAAATGTGGTCAAAGATCTGATCTACCTCGAGAGCATTGCGGACTGGGACTTCGATAGGGTGAGATGCACGTAAGGAGTCGAGTTCGAGAGCTGTTTGGACAGCTTCAGCCTGGAGTCAACGTCAACAAGGGCAACACTGGTACAGTACCTCTAGACATCTTACGCACCACAAACTGACTCCAGACTTTCCACTCGGGGTGAAGATGGTCGACAGCTAGCCAGCCAACCCAGGTGGCAAACCCTTCATTCAGCCACAACTCGTTCCACCAATCCATGGTGACCAGGTTGCCGAACCACTGATGTGCTAGTTCGTGAGCAACAACATAGGCAACTCTGTTTTTGAAACGGGCATCTGACTTCTCTTCGTCGTATAGAACAGCCGTCGTTCGATAAGTGACCAATCCCCAATTCTCCATGGCACCCATCGCGAATTCATGGACCGCTAGCAGATCTGACTTAGGAAGGGGATACTCAATGCCGAACACGTCGGAAAAGTAGTCGAGGGTCTTGTGGGCGTGTTCCATCGCAAAACGACCTTGCTCTTTAAGCCCCCGAGTGGTGTAGACTCTGACCGGCAGGGGCTTGCCGTTGTACTTGCGTTCGGTAAAGCCTTCGACATATTCAAAATCCCCAATGGCCCACGCCGCCAGGTATGTACTCATAGCCGGCGTCTTCTCAAATGCTACTTTTTTCAAACCCTGCTTGCTTCCCTTGTTGGAGGACTTTTCTGGCATGTTGCTGAGAGCGACGAGATCCTCCGGGATTTCGACCTCAAACTCGAAAGACGCTTTCAAATTTGGTTCGTCAAAGCATGGGAATGCCCTTCGAGCAGCACAAGCTTCAAATTGAGTGCTGAACATGTAGTGGTGCTCTCCATCTGTTGGAGTGCCCGCAGCTGGAGTGACAGCAGGCTTGTATTTGGACCGGTAAAAGCCTTCCATCGCATTGTTCATGATTCCCTTGAATGTAATGGAAAAGACAGCGTCACCAGATGGTATTTTCTCCGAGAATTTGATTGTTGCTCGCTCACTCTTCTTGTCATAAGATACGTCGGCCATTGATGTGATAGTAGAGCCGCCATCTTTGCTAAGGACTTCTGCATTTTTGATCTCTAGCTCTTTGACATTGATAACCAACTCTTGCGTTTCCTGCTTAACTTTTGAGTCAACCTTGACAGTGCCATCGTAGCTCCAGTCCCCGCCAAACTCGAGATTGTAGAGGGACAGGTCATAGTTGAGTGGCTCTATGGTATCGGGCAGGATATCGCGGTCCGCGGGAGGTGCCATGGTTCTCCTAGCCTCAAACGAGCACCAGCGAACCTGGGGTAATGTCCGGTTGAAGTGTTTGTGGAGAGGAGGTTGGTTGATTCGAGAATGAAGCGCGAATGTGCAAATGGTTCGTCTCGTGCCCGCGATCACAGGTCCAGCCTTGAGTGTCGAAGTGAAACAAGAGTATAATTTGAATTCAAGCATCAAAATCCTCCTTCTCAAGGTCCAACTAGATCAGGAGTCACAGCATCCGACGACTAGCCTGTACAAACACCGCAAACGTGGGATGACCACCAATCGAGTCGACGCAATACAGAGGTACCTGATTGTTGCGTTGGCGGGGACTCCTGCTTGCATCATCTCCAACTGCAGCTCCAAATAATAATTTTCAGCCTTACCACATCCAGCCTCGTCTTGCACGCGACACTGTGTGTCCCAAACAAGCAAGTCGATTCCCTTCCTGCTTCCTTTCTCCTCCTGCGCATCGTCCCCTTCCATGTGATGCCGGCATCAGGGGACGAATTCGTCGTCGATGGATCAGATGACGATGCGCCCAGAGCATCCACCCGCGGCCGCGCAGCGGCTCGAAGAGCAAATGCTCGTGAATCTGCCCAAAGCTTTGAGGTAACCCGAACTTGGGATTTGCTTATTGAAGGCGCCGATGGAACCATTACAGGGGCCGTTGAGGGCCTCCTTGAGGCGGGCAAGAGGAAAAGGTAGGTTCATCGATCCAGTGACGAAAGTGGTCAGAGAGAGCGAGAGCGAGAGAGGAAGCTATAGTGGAGGAACCAAAGTGCACCTCATTTGACCTATCTCACCATGGCTCTTCTGCAGACTCCTCAAAGACACCACACCTCTCCAGCGCGGCATCATCCGTCACCTGATTCTCATACTCGACATGTCCCTCTCTATGAATGAGAAAGACCTCCGTCCAACCCGTTATTTACTCACCCTATCCTACACCGAATCCTTCATCCGCGAATTCTTCGAGCAGAACCCGATTTCTCAGCTGGGAATAATAGGCATGCGTGACGGTATTGCGCTCAGGATCAGTGATATGTCTGGCAACCCAAACTCTCACCTGTCTGCGTTACAGAAATATCGCAAGGAAGAGCCCAAAGGCAGTCCGTCTCTGGAAAATGCGCTCGAGATGGCAAGAGCAGGACTATTCCACTCACCTAGCCATGGGACACGTGAAATACTGCTAGTGTTTGGCGCTTTGCACACTTCGGATCCAGGAGACATCCACAATACGATCAACAGTCTCGTCCACGATAAGATCCGTGCTACGGTTATTGGACTCGCAGCGCAAGTCGCCATTTGTGCCGAACTTGTCTCTAGGACGAATGATGGTGACTTATCGCCCTATGGAGTCGTATTGCACGAACAACACTTTCGAGAGTTGTACATGGCTGTGACAACTCCACCGATTACCCATGACAGTGCCAACAAAACAGCCCCATCCCTCTTGATGATGGGTTTCCCTTCTCGGACTGTGGAGGATCACCCCTCGTTATGCGCTTGTCACACAACTCCCCGAAGAGACGGGTATCTGTGCTCGCGATGCAGTACCAAAGTGTGCAGTCTGCCGAGTGAATGTCCTGTGTGTGGGTTGACCCTAATTCTAAGTACACATTTGGCGAGGAGTTATCACCATTTATTCCCTCTGGTTAATTGGCTCGAAGTCCCCTGGTCGAAGGCTTACCGCAGCACTGCTTGCTTCGCCTGTTTGAAGCCATTTCCTCCGATCCCAAAGCTAAATCAACCCCCGATATCAACCATCAGAGACCGTTCGCAAGGGACTGTCCGATCTACTGGCTCAGAAGCGTCGAGCTCCACTGCTGGTACTAGCCGACCTTCTCAACCTGCAGTCCCCTCGCCGACAACAAGTACTAGCAGATATGAGTGTCCTGTCTGCCATAAACACTTCTGTATTGACTGTGATCTCTTTGCGCACGAGGTTGTACATAACTGTCCTGGATGCCAGAGTGCAAAGATGCAGACAAGCTTGATGGGGGAGACGGAGATTCCGGCTCCTGATGGGCGTGAAATACAGGACGAAAGTAACTCGACACAACAGAACGCGGTGGAGAGTCAGAATGGAGATAGGATGAATATTGATTGAAGATTGAGAGCAAACTCGAATTAAACAATCTCCTCAACTGCTGACACCAAATTCCTATGGCATCTTTGCTTTTCAAGCTAGGGCTATCGGGCTCAATGTATTGTTATTTCGCAACCACATTACACACATAAGTCTCGGAATCTGTGTCTAAGGACTGATTGCCCGCTGATCATCGAGGGTCATCACATCACTACATATCTGCAACCAGTTTTCTCGCCTATTCTAAATTGTGCAGCAATCATGTTCTTGTCCGACGAGCGAACAGCCGGGCTGCTGAAGTCGATTCTGACAACACAACATTGGAAGAATGTCGTGCGTGACCTGGTTAATGCTGCTATGGGTGTCAAGTAGGTTAGTATAAAGCAGGCAGTTCTTCTCAAATCGGCGAGCTGTCGAGTGAAGAGTACCTCGTAGCGAGCTTTCGCATCAGTGCGAACTGGAAATGGGGAGGAGGTTGGTGGGACGAGATATGCAGAAGAATAACACGCGCCGCCCACGCGCCTGCCTTCGGAACGGAAAAACGTGGTAACCCTGTCAGACGTGTCCGACGCGCAATATCTGCACTGTCAGACAACTCTGCCGATCGATCCTTCCACCAAAACGACAGGGCAATGGTGGAGTATCAACATCAAATGACAGGTCATGTACCTTTTTGGATGCAGCCCAATAATCTCCATCCCTGGCGAATTGGCGACATGGCAGATTCCTTGCATGCAGACTCAATCACCACCACCAGCGTCCCTGCCACTTCAGATATCGACACATATCTTCAGAAGTCTACAGCGCAGGATCGTACTTCAGCACTCTTGATTGCGACCTACCAATCTATACATTCTAATTCCACAACGGAAGTATACACCCTCACCCTCAAAGGGCTATACGCCTGCATACTGTGATGTTTACAGACATACACATAATCCACTGAACAACGAAGACAACTTTACATCGATGTCGAGAGTGCCTTATGAGACCCAGACCCGTCCTCGCTATATCTCATGGGCATGCTTCATTCTCTACTCACTGTGTGGTCAAGTTGGCTCAGGCAGTGCGATCACCATGATGTTTGCACCCTGAATGGACGTCAAACACCTGCATTGAGCAAAAGATTACTTTTGGCTGAGCAACATGCATGTTAAAAGTTCTAGCTATCGCTTTAGGTACTCCGGGTTAGGCGCGCAATTTTCAGCTAGAGAAATCAGGGGTTCCACGTTTGAGCTCAGTCGAGAAAAGGGACGCCCAAAACCCTTCTTACCGAAGAACATCGAGCGCGCATCAAAGTACCACGCGGATCGGGGGGAGGACATCACTCGAATTGCGGGTTCTGATCCTCCCGTGTCTGGAAGATTGACGGCCTCGGGTGTGCTGAACGGGGTGGCAGGCGGTGCCGTCGTTGACAGAGCCGCGGATACGGAAGACGCCGTTGTTACTTCTTATCAATCCGAGTTGATAACGTTCAGGATGCCATCGAGGCGTCTGGCCTCTGACCAAAATGCAGGCAAGATCGAGCGCACGATGCCGCGAAGATTGAGAGACCATGCTGAAAAACCCCATACCCACCCCAATGCTAAATTGACGTTTGACCTGAGTAATATCAGAAGGAAACTCAACTTCGACAGCAATTCCCTCGCTAATAGCCAGAAGCTTGCCAAACGCCAGAGACGCGACTTTATTGAATGCCGATGTCATCTGACCATCTGGGACAACCGTGACGGTGCCTCAACACTGCCACTCGTCACCGAATCATCTCTCTGTCGGGTGGGCCGCGTGCAAAACGGTAAAGATGGAACATATGTCTCCATAGAACTAGAAGAACCGTTCATCGTCAAGGTGTCAGCGCTCAAAGTTCCCACCAGCTCCCATGAGAGTAAACCAGATCTGGAAATGAGCACCAAGTATTTTCTTGAGGTCAAGATTATACCATGCACTGCTGACACTGAATGGCCTCCTATACCCATAATGGGTGACAGCACCGGTGACCACTTTACCCCGGACCTCAGGAAGCTGGGCGTTGAAGAACTGCAGGGGGCTATTGTCGCAAGATACACCCATCTTCCAACAGCCCCTGACCGAAAGGCTCCGCTCAGTGTGTTTTATCTGTCTGAAGGACGCACCTACCGGACAAAGTACGGCCTTGAGGTTATATCAACTTGGCACAAACCCGAAGTCTCCCCCCCATCTAGCGGCAAGCAGAGTAGGGGGCTGGACATGGACACATTTCGCTTCCAGAAGCCCAAAAAGTTCATTTTGCCTACCAGGACGAGAAAAGAACAGCCACCTTTGCCCGAGGAAGCCACGGAAGAACTGGAAGTACACTATAAGTTTTCGGAAACGATGGTAGGAAGTACAGATGCTGCAGAGCACTTCCGCAATACCGTCGTTCGGGGATACGGCTGTCCAATATGCGTGGGATGGGGCTCCAATAACAGACTGCAGGAACTTCTGTCACATCTAGGATCCGTGCACGCGGAATATGTCTTCTCTCCCTCGAAGCAGCGGCGAGACAGGAAATCAAAGCGGTTGACCCAGCTCGAAATGAAGGTCGAAACTCTCACGGGCAGAAAAAGGGCAGAGAATGACAAGGCCTTTCCGTCAAATAGAGGAGATCGCAGGTCAACAGGGGAAGGGGGCCCTCTACAACCTCTTTTTAGCGGTAATAAGCCTTTCAGCCTTTCTGCACCAGTCAAGGCGGCTCCACGATATCCATTGGCATCCCAGATTCCCGATTTCCGAACGCCTATGCGCAAAAAGGTCAAAGCTATCCGCCTTCGGACAATGTATGATGAGCCCGAACATGTCTGGACCTCCATTACAAATCGACCAGTCTCCCCCAGTGAAGACCCACAGAGTGAAACAGATGATGAGGTGGACAATAGTTGGCAGATTGACTTGCATATGGAGAATCTCGATAACCTCGCTCGCCAGAAAGGTTGGAGCAAAAGCAAGCGCGAATTGACTAAACGTTGGGACCGACACCGGATGGAAGAACAACTCGAGCACTCGCGCTATGTGTCGAACTCTCTGATCAGATTTGCCAGAAAGCACAGAGCATGGCTGAAGAATGGGGATGAGGAGCTGTGGCAGGTCTTCTTTGACTTCTTGGCTGATCTGAAAGAAACCGGCGTTATCGATGATAACGTGGTTTCAGACGTCAACGAGCTAGTTTTTCTAGGTCCTCCGCTCCCCACAGCGCATCAAGAACAGGAGACATGCGAGAACGTCACAGATCATGCAGAAGATGGAACAAGCGCGTCCGAGCAGCAAGAATCAGCCACGGTGAAAGCGAACACTCGAGTCAGTGATATTCCAAGAACCGGAGTCGCCCAAGATGCGGAGCCCGCATCTCAGAGCGCTGAGGCAGCCCATCCACGATCGGTGACTCCTGCAGACGCGCCCAGTCCTGCCGACGAGCAAGATAAGCGAAAGCAAGGAGCTGTAAGGCAACAACGCCGTCCTCCAACGGAATATCACTGCGGAGCCTGCCTACAGCAGATTGAGCGTGCGCACAGAGACACGATTTACTGCACAGCCGAAAACTGCCCCTCGCCCAGCACTAGATATCACAAGGCATGTGCCTGGGACCAGCTGTCGGCCTGGAGAAGAGGTAAATTCCCTCTTGATGGGGGCGTCGACAGTCCTCTTCGAGATTTGAGTCCAGCGGAGGAGCTGAAACTAAAGCACTGGGCATGCAGAGGTTGCACTTTGATGCGTTGGATGATATGGAGATTCACGGGACCGGAGGAGGAGGAAGAAGAAGAGGAGGAGGAGCAGGAGGAGGTAGAAGAACCACCCGTCCCGGCGCCGCGGGTGATTCCAGTCAGACCAAAGAAGAGAGAAGAGGTGCCGCTGCTGAGACTAGCTGCCATGGGTTCCTGGCGGCAGAGGCTGAGGGGAATGGAAGCAGAAGAGGCCAAGGCCAAGGCCAATGCAGAAGACAATGAAGAGGGTAATGGGAAAGGTAAAGAGGTAGTGAGGGACGTGGTGACCCCAGGGGAATGCAGAACCGAGACTCCGAACGAAAATGCCCCGAGCATGCCAATGGACAATAGAGATGGCACTCCCTTTGAGGACAGAATGGACCTTACTACCTGGTACAGCTCAGACATTGCGATTGGGAACGGGGAGGGACCTTCTGGTCTAAACAGAGCGGACACACGGGTCAGAGAGAGATCTCGCACTCCCGCGGATGACAGAGTGGTCACTCCAGGCCGAGGCAGGTCTCGCACTCCTCTTGGAAACAGACCAGGGACTCCCATCAGGAAGAGGCCGGGCACTCCTATCGCGGACAGAATGAGTCTCCCCACACGGGTGAGGATGAGGATGGGCAGTCCCATGCGGACGGGAAATCTGCAATCAAGACTCAAGGCCGCAGGGCCAGGGCTGACGTTGAAGTCCGGGTCCAACGCGCAGGAAAAGGCAAAGGTGGCGGCGAGAATCCTCGCCAAAAACGGGCGAAACGGTCTCTCGAATTTGCGATTTGCCGAGTCGGTGCCTGATTGAGGAGCTTTAAAAGGGTTACAGGGATACAATACAATATATGTTGAGCGTTGGGACATGGAACAATGCAAAAGAAGGTCGGGGATCAAAGACCAGGGGAACCCAAGAAAGGATAGACTGAGATGAGCAATGAGACTACCACCTATTAATACCTCTAGCTAGCCATGGAGTGGACACGACTCTTTTTCTCCCTTATCGGGGACTTTCTTTCTCAAACTTCGTCTCCCGGAATCCATTGCACCGATCCGCTTGTCGAGGGAGAGGGTCGGACTAGAGAAAAGCGACGGAGCGGACGGCCTATGGACCCATGGACCCATGGACCCACGAACCGCTTGCATCAAGAGGCCAAGTCGAGTCAGGATGTGGCTTTCACTGCTATGGCTTGTGGTCGTAATGGGTGGGTGCAACGAATCCTGTGGTGCGCTCTATGCGAAAAAGAATCGCATGGACAGGATCAGGATGGTGACCACAGGGTCTGGGATAGATAGGGAAGAGATACGGTGAGGCAGAATGAGGGGGAAAACGATCGAGTCTCTGTCTGCAGGAAGAAGTATTTTTCGGGGTTTGACTTGTTTTTGAGACTTCCGTACAAGAAACTCTGGGGGAGAAAGCACATCCTGTGGAGCTGTCTTTCTGGCAGCAAATCACCTGTCCCCTGATCGCTTTTCCAAGTCCGCCGTGAGGCAGATGTATTCTGGACTCCAAGGCGCCTGTATCTCTTTTGACCTCCCCAAAGAAATGCTTTCAGTACCGTGTCAGATCACTGACATACAGAAACCAGGTAAATATGGGTTTTGGTGACGGGGAGGTTATGTTTTTTTCTTCTTTGCAGGCGAATCTCCAATATGCCCTCGACCGATGCTTTGGCACCGCGACCGGAATCACACATGTCAAGGTGATTCTTTCCAGGAGAGCTGAAGTGAGATCCTCGCATGGGCTGCCAGCACAGCCATGAACCACTCATATTCCAAGACTCTTCTCGGACGATGCGCAACACCGCAGTCGACCTCAACCTTTCATCTCCTCATCTTCGTCTTCGGGGGCTTCGAAGTCCTCGTCATCGTCGTCGTCATCATCATCCAAATCGTCTCCGGCGTCCTTTGACTTCTGCTCGGCTTCGGCCCAGTCGATCTGCTTGCGGCGAGTCCGGGTTTCGACGATGTTGTCCAGCTCAATCGCTTCCATCTCATCATCTGATTGACAAAGTCAGTTTCGATCGCCTTTCTGGAATGTCGCACGCAGGGGACTGAGATGGAGAAAAGAGACGGGAAATCGATGCGCGATTGCGATCACGAGCGCCGTAGTGTAGAAAGTTTATTCGGAAAGGGGTAGATGGTACCTTCTTCTTCAGCTTCAAGTTGCTAGAACAGAAATCGTGTTAGAGAAGGATCACAACGTGAAGGACTGGTGTCGCCGACGTACCTCTATCTCTTCCTCTTCTTCCTCTTCCTCGTCGTCGATATCATCCTCGTCCAAGAACCCTATTTGCTCCACCGCTTTGCCCTTGCCTTTGCCGGTGTCTGTCACTTCGCTTGCGTCCTTGGGGACAGTCTCGCCGTTTGCCGACATTTTGCAGCGCAGAGGGTACGAGTGAGGAGATTTCAAAGTCGATGGAATAGTAAGGATCAGGGTCTGAAGTGTCAAAACCGTGGGTATTGAGTGTGTAAAAGAGCAAACAATTGTTGGAGGATGGACAATTCAAGTTTGGAGAGTTGCGCGCTTCGCGACAGGTCGCCAAGCAACTGAGTTCGGCTAATCGTTTTGGGATATTCCGATTCACGTGATGGGCTCTCACCAGAACCCCAGACGTGGTACCTGTTCGGACAATCGCCTCCTGTGCTTAGATTCACCTGTCGACGAACCGTTGTTGCTGCGATGGCATGAATCTATAGACTTGAATCACAGACATGCAAACCAGCTCTTGTGGTGAAGTTCACGGGCTTTCAGGTCATTGCAAAGGTGCCCAAACCCTCTTGAAAATCTCAACTTTGCTCTGTTGATGTACTCGCGGTAGCTTCTGAACGTACTACTACATGGTTATTGAACAGGCTCTGGCGACAGATAGGTGCCAATGGCCGGTATGGCCGGAATTTGATGGCTCGATCAGGTGGAATGGTCGGCTACGGTCATTGGTACACTACAAGCATGCTCGGACTGCGGAATATGCTCGACAACACGAGAATCAGAGAGACCTCATTCCCCCCATTGAGATTCAAGCCAACGACGCAGTGAGCGGACTCGCTTCCTCGAGGATGATACCCCCAACTGTGGATCTCCGCGTGCTCGCCTCGTGAAGAGTAAACCGTAGTATTTGTATTTGCCTGTATTTTGTACTTGTAGTATTCCCCAAAGGAATTGACTTTTGTGGCATGATCACTGTGAGAAAATATTGCTGATCTTTTAACCTTACCCTCGAGTTAGGCTCATGGCGGCTACCATAAGAGGGTAACGAGAATGAGATGTGGGAGGGGACGAACGAATGGGAATCCATAGGGCTTGGCCGGGGCGGAAGGACATGGCAGACAGAGTTGCCTCCACAAAATTCTATTCTTTCTAGCACAGTCTACTGGACTGCATTTGCTTGTAGCATGTTCGCTCAGTACCACTTTTTGGCGAGGAGGAAATTTCGAGCGTTGGCAGGGATGTCGAAACGAAGGTAACGGTGGTTGGTTTGGTGGCACGGATACCAAGATGACTCGCATCCCACCAGAAGAAGAAAGAACTGGATGATGTAAATTCCAATGCAGCCAATTTCATCATGTTGGACAGGTTCGCGCAGGAAATGGAAGCATCGTGAAAGATTCCTGACGGGTATCGAAGATGCAAACATCAGGCGACTTTTACCTGGTTGCCCCTCCAATCAGGCCTCGAAACCCACTTCAGCCTTGTGGTCGTAGAATTTGACCGAAAATGATTGTGGTTGGTGGGTTGGCCCATGACGTAACCAGGCCAACTGCGGGACAGCTTCCATGCCTCACCCACCAAAAGGCCACCAGGCGACAACTTCCCCCATCTAGAGTTCCCTATAGCCTAGATGATGAGACAAGGCGCTCAGAGAGAATCGCAGCGATGCATCAGGTAGCATCTCAGCCCACTTCCAGGTACCGCATGCGCCGGCTGGAAGAGGCCGGCAGCTTCGAGTGGGAACCAGTCCTGCAGCTAGAACAGTCACCGTAGTTCCACGCACTTCTTCATGCTTCTACCAACTGCGTCCCGCCCTCGCCTTGGCGAAATTTTGACAACAACCAAATTCCATAAATCTCTGTGATCAGGCTCTGCCTTTCCTCTTTCTCACCATCAGATCACACATTCACGAAGAAATCCCCTCCTAGAACGAAAAGTCTTCTTCAAAAGACTTCTTAATACTCCTTAATTTACCTTCCAACACGCTATCTCATATTCCTCATTTCCTCCAGTCATAATGGCCCCAGCCATCGGTATCGATCTAGGTACTACCTACTCATGTGTGGGCGTCTTCCGAGATGACCGCATCGAGATCATCGCCAACGACCAGGGCAACCGGACTACCCCCTCGTTCGTTGCTTTCACCGACACAGAGCGTCTGATTGGCGATGCCGCAAAGAACCAAGTCGCGATGAACCCCCACAACACCGTCTTTGACGCCAAGCGACTGATTGGTCGTAAATTCAACGACGCCGAAGTTCAAGCCGATATGAAGCACTTCCCCTTCAAGGTTGTTGACAGGGGTGGCAAGCCTGTCATCCAGGTGGAGTTCAAAGGCGAAGAGAAGCTGTTCACACCCGAAGAGATCTCCTCCATGGTCTTGACCAAGATGAGAGAAACTGCGGAGTCATACCTCGGTGGCACAGTCAACAACGCAGTCATTACTGTCCCTGCCTACTTCAACGACTCCCAGCGCCAAGCCACCAAGGATGCTGGTCTGATCGCCGGCCTCAACGTCCTGCGTATCATCAACGAGCCCACTGCTGCCGCCATTGCCTACGGTCTGGACAAGAAGGCTGAGGGCGAGCGCAATGTCCTCATCTTCGACCTTGGTGGTGGTACTTTCGATGTCTCACTCCTGACCATCGAGGAAGGTATCTTCGAAGTCAAGTCTACCGCCGGCGATACTCACCTGGGTGGTGAGGACTTCGACAACCGTCTTGTCAACCACTTCGTAAACGAATTCAAACGCAAGCATAAGCGAGTTAGTATTCCCTCCCCTCCATCCCCCCCCCCCCCCCTTTCATCTTTC